AGCCCCAAGCACAGCAGCCTGATGTATACCATCAATGTTTAATGAGACACAATAGCTAACTGATGAGAAATATTACAGGACCCCCCTGATGCTCTCTGTGGTATCTGCTCTAGCGACCAAACTGCCGCTTACAACCGTCCATACTATTAACACTCATCCTGTAAAGCCAGGACTTTCTAATGCAATAGAGTGGAAACCATGTCTGAGAAGCAGGGCACTGATGCTGACAAGGTCCATTAACGCAGCTGAATTCCCCCGAGGATTGCCTTCATCAGCAATCCCAGCACACTACAGAAAGAGGCCTCATCTCAGACATGGCCAGAGTCTGCACTGCAGAGGAAAGTCAGGTTGGCAACTGGCAGTCAATCAGGGATTAAATCTTTCCACTGAGTCTGTCCTGCCAAGGAAACTTACTGAAATTTTGGTACTCAACGTTTGACTGAAGATATTAACATAGGATATGACCTTGGTGGCATCTCAATGCTGCTAGGTTGGCTTGATTTTAGTTAGCATATCTCTGTAGTGTAGTCAAAATCAGGTTGCTGCTGTGTGCCACAGATAAATAAGGCAAGAACACTAGGAAGCTGAGCCAGAGTCCAAGAGTCAACATCACAGGCTCCCTCAGCTGTCTAACATCATGCCAGCATTCTTCACATCTGCTCGTCTTCATGACCAGAGACCAAGGGTAAACAGCATCCCTTACCACGCTGATGTCCCTCATCGTGACACTTTTATGCCTAGTATATCTTACATTCTTAAAACATGGCAAATCAAGACACTCATGAGCTGTCTCCCAAATAGATAGAGAACAGCATCTAGGAAAGAAAGAAAAAAAACTTATCCTTCCTATCCCTTTGAACAGAACTCATTTCAAGCACATGTCTTTGCCCTTAGAGAAAGGAACAAAAAAGTCTCCAATAGAAATCCAAAGTGGTTCCCTTCCTAGTAGCAGCCATCCAGCTAATGGGACAGCATAGGTCCTATTCAGATTGCAAATATAAGATCATTGTGCGCATGGAATCAGATTATATTTGCCAGTTTAAAAAGTAATAGATCTTGCTAAATGACTTAAAAGTAGATTCCTAGGAAATTATCTTATACAAGCGTCAATGGCGAAGGTGTCCTTACAGAGACCAGAGACCGAGAAAGTTTGTTCTTTGATTGTTAAAACAAAAAATTGTACAGGGAAGTCATTAATATTTCCATCCTTGTGAGGAGGGGACAAGGTTAATTGCTTTTCTCAATGGTGAGCACAAGCAGTGTTGGCTTAAAGGAGAGAGACAAGGCTGGTCGCCCAGGATGGATCCAGCTCTCTTTTCTTCAACACGTTCTAGGAAGTTATATGAGGACAGGATGCAGAAGAAGTCGGTTATACAGAGTTTTTTCTCAGTGAAAAGAACAGAGAACTAAAGAACAGTGGCTTCCCTTCAAACCATTGTTCTCCACGTGGTGGCTCACTATTGATAACACCCATCAAATTGAGTCCTAACCTGGAACTTTGTTCATAATGTTTTTGTTAATTTTTAAAATCTTAATTAAAATATAATTACATTGTTTACCCTCCCTCACTTCCCTCCTACCCTTTCTGTACCCGTTCACCCCCAATTTTTAACTGTTGCTGTTTTATATACATATTTAATCATCTCTCTGTATATACATATGCATATATGATTGTATATGTATGTATATGATTAAACTTGTATATACATACATAGACATGATTAAACATAAATAAAGTCTGCTGAGTCACTGAAGTGTTGCCTGCATGTGTATGTTTCTCAGGCTAGCCACTTGATATCCTGTATCACCAAAAAGGGGCTTATCATCTCTGGGAAACACTAATCCCTCCTCTCTCTGTAGTCCTTAATTGCTTGTGGCTCTGCATCTGAGGTGAAGTCCCATAAGATTTCACCCATCTACTTTGAGATGTTCACTATTGGAATTGTCCTGGCCTTACTTGAGCTATCCCATTGTTAAGATTTCACTGGCATCCCTTCTGTGTCATAGATACAAGTTACAGTGTCACAACTAACTTTCTGTTCCTCTGGCTTTTGCAGTATTTCTGTCCCCTCTTCCTTAATGTTCCCCAGCCTTGAGTGCTTGAGTTACATTGCAGATGTATGGCCTGGGGCTGGGCATGCCACAGTCATTTGTTGCATTTTGACCTTTTGTGGGTTTATGTAATGATCTGCTGAGAAAAAGCAGCTCCTTGGGTGAGAAGTTAGAGCTGTGCTTGTCTGTGGCCATAAGGATGGGTATTGAGAATGCAGTTAGGAAGTCCACGAGCTTAGGAACATGGTGGGAGAAGGTTTTCCTCTCAGATCCATGGCCTCACTACTCCTGGGGAACTAGTGAGGTTTGCAGAACCAAGCTTGATTACCCTCCCATAAGGCAGGCCTTGACTCCAGTGAGGGAGCTGTCAATTATCAACCAAGATATGGGCAGCATTATTACCATGCTGACTGTTGTAGCTCATAGGCATCACAGCTGCATGAGACTATTGGTTGTTTTCTTCTCTTGGCTTCTGGTACCATGAGAGCGGCTTCTGAGAGAGGATGCAGTTTGAATCTTCCAAGTACTATGTCCAGAGTATGGTATTTTCAGCAATAGGAACCTACTTCCACTTGCAAGAGTCATGGCCAATAATAAAGCAATAATCTATTATTGGAGGAGTCTCTTGAGTTCTCCTGACCAACAACTCGAAAGAAGGCTTCTCTACTGCTTAGTGCTAGAGCTTCTGCTGGACAGTTTATGGCTCTTAAGAGGAGCATTATTGCCCCAGTTGTATTATTTCATTTAAATATGTATTATTATGCATGCATATGCATATATATGTATGTATGTGTATGTATGTGCATGTATATGTTATATGTGTATGCATGTGTATGTATGTGCATGTATATTTATATACATGTGCAATGCATTTATATACAGTTTACTTAATAATTACACTTCTTTATGAGGCATCTTTAGGATTTTATTACCTCCCCCGTTCTCCTTCTGTACCACTTTTCCCTTTTCTCTCCCTAATAAAATCTTTCACCTCATTTTCCCATTTCTTCCTTCTTATTACCTGGACCCTAACTTCCCCTCTATAAAGTATCCCCAACATAGTCTCTATACATTATTGGTTTCTATGGTTACTCCAGGTTATATATTCACATGTAGAGATTTAATGCTAGGAACCACAGAGAAGGGGAAACTTGTGCTGTCTGTTTCTCAGGTCTGGGTTCCCCTATTCAAGAGATTACTTTCTAGTTCTATGGACTTACCTGAAAATGCCATGATTTTGATTTTCTTTACAGGTGACTAGCATCCCATAGTATATATGTGCCACATGTTTATTAGCCATTCATTACCTAGAAGACATTTAGGATACTTCCATTTCCTAGCTATTGTGAATACAGAAGCAATGAACATGGCTGAGGAAGTATTTTGTGGACTTGAATGCTGAGTCCTCTGGACATGTGGCTAGGAGCTAGAGAGCTGAGCAACAGGAAAGATTCCTTTTTAGCTATTGAAGCATTATCCACATTCATCTCTGGAATGGTGAAACCAGCTTTTGGTACAGTCCCACCAACACAGAGTGGGGTCCCTCTCACCACCAATAGAGCAAGGGTCCCTCTCACCACCAACAGAGCAAGAGTCCCTCTCACCACCAACAGAG